GGGGGGTGGGGGTGGGGTGGTAGTAGTGGTAAGCCCAACATCCTGCAGGGCTGGCTTTTGTGCTCTAGGGCTTCGCAGAGTTCTCGGAAACCATGGAAGGAAAAGACAGTGGCATTTTTTTTCCTCTGCTGTCTTTTAGAAGTTCCTCTTCCCCAATATCACCCATTAACCATCGGGCTGCTGACCACACGGTCAGCCATTCAAAACCACCTGCTCAGAAAAGCGAGGCTTTCTAGTCATGAGTTGCAGTCTCAGAAGCCCGCAAGGGCCAGTTCCACCTTGTCCTACCTATAGGGTTGCTATGAGTCGGAATCAACTTGATGTCTGGGCAGTGAGCGGAGTCTTGTCATTCCTTCCTAGGTTATCCCAAAGCGAACCAACAGACCGGGCATCAGCACAACAGACCGGGGCTTCCCACGAGCGCGCTACAGGGCCCGGACCACCAACTACAACAGCTCCCGTGCTCGGTTCTACAGCGGCTTCAACAGCAGGCCTCGGGGTCGTGTCTACAGGTCAGGATAGATGGGCTGCTCCTCCCTCCGCTTCCCATGAGCCCTGTATATGTCTTTCTCTCTCGATCTGAGGCACCGCCCTCCCCCTTCCCTTGGTCTCCAGGGACTTGGTCTCCTGCCTGTGCAGGGTGAGGAAGGTAGTTGGAGGCCAGGCCAGTCTCATCATCTTTCTGGAGCAGAAATTGGTGATAAGGCCTCTGTTCTGAGAAATGCTTCCTCCCCCAGCCTGGTCCCCACCTTGGGAATTGGTGGCCCTGAGCGTGTTTGCACTGGAGGCCTAAAAGAAAGGACAGCCTTGGGGGGCAGTAAGAACACTGCTGACAATCTTGCTACTTTTTTCAGATCTAGGGAGGGGCTGATGTTTGAGCCTCCCTTGGACGGCTGGCCCATTCTCACTAGCAAGAGTGTGTGGGAGGATATGATATTGAGATACTTGCTCTTTAAGGTAGCTAGTGCTTTGTACAATTTAACTTTGACTGGGCACAGCTCATATTATTGATATATTTTAGTCTCTTTACCTTTAAATAGAAATGTTGGTGCTTTATAAGCTCACCCTGTCTGCTCCCAGGAGTTGAGGGCTTCAAAAAGTGGGTGAGGGCCTCGAGCTATAAAGAGTGGAAAACCGGCTCAAACAAGGGAAGTCGCTGCCCTTCCCCTGTATCACATACACACTTCTTTATTGTCACTGTTAACCAAGAAGTGCCCCCGTTCGTTTTCAGGTGTGTCACTTTTGGGGCTTCAGGGGTCAGTTTTAGGACACTTGAAATTTTCTCTGCCCCTGCCTTTCACAGTAACGGGCAAGGACCCATGGGGAGGGGCTTGTATGGAAATAAATAACCAGTGATCATGTTAACACCTAACTCTCCTTCTTTCTTCCAGGGGCCGGGCTAGAGCGACATCATGGTATTGCCCTTACTAAAAAAAAGTGTGTATTAGGAGGAGAGAGAGGAAAAAAAGAGGAAAGAAAAAAAAAAAAAGAATTAAAAAAAAAAAAAAAATTTTTAAAAAAAAGATATACTGTGGAAGGGGGGAGAATCCCATAACTAACTGCTGAGGAGGGACCTGCTTTGGGGAGTAGGGGAAGGCCCAGGGATGGGGTAGGGCTGCTCACTCCCTGGGGAGTCGCCATGGACACGTCTCAACTGCGCAAGCTGCTCCTGCGTTTCCCTGTCCCACCTCACCCCTTGGGGGCTGCTCAAGGGTAGGTGGGCATGGGTGGTAGGGGTTTTTTTGTTCACCCAGGGCTCTGGAAGGACACCAATCTGTTCTGCTTGTGACCTTCCCTCCATCTCCTCCCTGCCTTTCACCCTCCTGCCTGCTTCCTGTCCTGCCAGCTCTTGCCACCCACCCGTCTTCTCTGCTCCCTGCCCCTCCAGATGACCTGGTGATCTGTTTGTTTCCTTTTGTGTTTCTTTTTCTGTTTTGAGTGTCTTTCTTTGCAGGTTTCTGTAGCCGGAAGATCTCCGTTCCGCTCCCAGCGGCTCCAGTGTAAATTCCCCTGCCCCCCAGGGGAATGCACTACCTTGTTTCAGGGGTCTTGGGGTGTTTTTTCCCCCCCTCCAGGTTTTTTTGTTTTGTTTATTTGTTTTGTTTTCCTTTGCCTCCCCCCCCCTTTTATTTGGAGGGAATGGGAGGAAGTGGCAACAGGGAGGTGGGAGGTGGATTTTGTTTATTTTTTTAGCTCATTTCCAGGGGGGTGGGAATTTTTAAGAAAAAAAAATGTGTCACGAATAAAAGTTGTTTTTGAAAATAATAATTGGCTTTGGGTGTAAGGGTTATTTATCTAGCTGTGTTCACGGGTGGCTGTTAATTCTATTTTGTGGAAGTATTCGTGTTGTGGAGGGAGGTTCCCGTTTGTGAAGTAAGGGAGTAGGAGTTAAGTGACAGCTAGCAGGAACATTGTGCTTAGCAAAGGATGATGGATTTTTCTGGATAGCTTGCAGCCCCGATTGGCATTTGACAGGTGAAATTAAACCGAGCTTGAGAGAATAACAGTGGCCAAATGAGAGTGCATGTATGCATGTATGTATGTATGTGTCCTGGTAAAACTTAACTGGGAGTGGATTACTAAGCTAGACTTTATGCTGGAGTCTGCTAGCTTTTCTTGGCTTCTCTGCTCCCAGGTGGACTTGAGGAATGCCAGTTTGTTTTGTTTTTTTCACATTTAGTGGAAACAAAAAGCAAAACTTAAGTCATGTCTACAACTATGCAATGTCTGCATAATGCATCCAGCTCGCTGGTCTGATGGGCATTTCAGATGTCCTGTGGGCGTGATCATAAACACCCCTAGTCCACTTCATGGCTGGCTGTTACCCACAGAACTTTAAAACCAGCCTTCTATTGTCTGGCTAGTCACTGTTCCTTTCTGGCCCCACAGTGTGTGTTCTCAGTGGCCTCTGCCCTTTTCTCCAGAAACTGACTAAAATTCTGTCGTCCAATATTATTCACCTGGAACCCTGGTGGTGCTGTTAGCCACGTCTGCTGTCTGCAAGCTCAGCAATTTAAAGCTGCCAGCACCTTTGCAGGAAATAGTCTTGGAAAAGCCCACAGTGGCAGTTCTGCCCTGTCCTATGGGATACACTGGAGTTGAATGCACTTGCCAGCAGTTTCTTGATCGTGTCCACTACCACGTGATAGCATCTGACCGTACTGTTGGCCTCCAAAACACGCTCCGTCCATCCAGACAGCGCTCCTGTCGCACGGTAGAACTGCCCCTTAGCATTTCCAAGGCTGTAAGTTTAGAGCCAAAAAGTTGCCTCTTTTCCACAGAGCAGCTGCCCTGTGATTAGCAGCACCAACGTTTAAACCGTGCTGCCACTAGGGCTCTGTGGAGATTTAGGAATTTAAGATACTTCTTTCCTAACAAGATTCAGCTAGGGAGACTTGGTGGTGGCGTGGTTACGAGTTGGACTGGTCTGTAGCCATTGGAGACCTTTTGGGAAAAGGATGGGGTTTTCTACTGTGAACAGTTGCAGTTTCAGAAGCTCACGGTGGGGGGGGGGCGGGGGCTGGGGGGGGTTCTGAGTCAGTATTGACTGGATGGCAATGAGCTTGGGGGCTTTTGTTTGTTTAGATGCTGCCAACATAGTGCTATTAATCTGATTGTAGAAACAATTGGCATAGGCTGATGAGCAAGAAACAGAATTGAGCTGCCTCAATTCTTTGAGGAGCCCTGGTGGCCGTGGGGTAGGCCTTGGACTGCTTACCGCAAGGCTGGTGATTCACTCACCAGCCACTCTGGAAGCAAGCTGAGGCTGAGGCTGCTCCCTTCAGGGTTTGCCGTTATATGGGATCAGCATCTGTGGGAATTGATTGCACAGCGGTGAAAGGGCTGTACTGGGAGTACGAGATACAAACGTGTGCTGAAGCTAAGGCAGGGAAGGTGTCATCCACCAGGGGGCACTAAAGGTCTACTTAAAGGGGTCTATAATAGGTTAAAGCATCCTAGCATGCGAATGTTTTTGTTGATACTTCTCTGGTCTTCATTTTCTATGCTGTGTGAATTCTCACCAAATACTCTCTCATTGTGTTCTTGCTGTGCTTGAGAAACGCCCCCTCTGCATTGCAGGGACCACCTAGCATATGCCTCTGCCTCTGAATTGAACATTCTCAGCCTTGCTCCTGCACTGCCACCAATAAGTACAAAGTAAATGCAAGTAGGGAACCACGCAAAGCCTTTAACTATTTGATCCTGAGGAAAGTCCCGTGCCACATTCTGCCCCATCTCTGATGGGGTATGCGTTTCAGTGGAGCTTGATTTAAATGCATTGGTCGGGCTTTCTTCCAGGCTGTCAGGCCTGTCGCCAACATCCTCTATCAAAGTCATGCTCATCCTTCATAAGCCAAGTCTCGTAGCCTTGAAGCCCTGATCCCTAGACAGACTTCATCACTCCTGTCTGTACTCCAACGCGATTGAAGGAGTCTTGGAAACCTGCAGGAAGTTTCAGCTTGTCCTATAGGGTCCCTATGATTTGGACGCATAGCAGTGAGTTTCATTTGGGTTTTTGGTACTCCAAATCGCTCCTGTCTTTCATGGTTTTATAGGAATCCCTGGGGAATACAAATGATTAATGTGCTTGGCTGCTAACCAAAGGATCGGAAGTTCATGTGCCCCAGAGGCAACTCTGAAGAGACTTGATCTACTTCCAAAAATCAGCCATTAAATCCTACGAAGCGCAGTTCCACACTGACACACATAACAACTGACACATCGGCAACTAGATTTTAGTTTTCTTTATGCTTTTATAAGTGAAAGAATTGGTTTTTAAGACTACTACGGACTTTCCAATGGATTGCAAACTCAGGGAGGGCCTGAGTGATTTTTTGTATTACCTCATAATGCTTGCCCTTGGGAGATACCCAAGGGTTATAGTTCACCTTGGGGGTGACTTGTGCTAGAGAAAATAGTAATAGAGGCTCGTGTTCATTTCACCCTGAACCTGCTCATTTCTCTATGGCTGTTGAGTCAGACTTTCCACCTCACACCCAGACATTCCAGTGCTGGTTCAACCGCTCACTTCCCGTGAGTTGTCCCATCTGCCCAGTAGTCATTCAACAGGTTTTTGTAGATTGATAAGCAAAGACTTGCTACAAGGAAAAGAATCAAGGGAATTCATGTTATTTTCTAAAGAAAGGTGCCATTATGACAGCCCTCGAAGGTGCCTCACCAGAAACAGGAATGGACTTCTATTCTTAATCTGAGATATGCTTCACACCATAAAATTCACCCTGTCAAGTGTGCAACGCCATGTTTTTTTGGATGTTCACCAAACACTTCCTGGGTGCAGGACATTTTTCATCATGCAAAAACAATACAAAAATCCAGTACTCACTAGTGGACACCACCACCCTGGCAGCTTGGAGCTACTCATCTGCTTTCCGCCTATGTATTTGCCATTCAGGGACATCTGATATCAATGGAATTGTACAATATGAGGGAGCTTCAAATTTTGTGAAAAATTCCATTGGTTCCATTTTCTACAATGTTTTGAAGTCCCTCGTGGACTTTTATGTCTGGTTTCATTCTCTTGGCATAATGTCTTCAAGGTTCATGTTCTATCAATACTTTTTATGGTGGAATGATCATGTTCTAGAAAGATCCCACATTTGGTTTATCCATCAGTTGTTGGCTGTTTGGGACGTTTGCACTTTACTGTAGAGAACATGTTCTTGGTGTTAAGCTGAAAATGACCTGCAGGAAGGCTTCAGGTCCTGGTCAGAAGGATGTCTCACGAACATAGTCTGAGGGGTTTCTCCAACACTGTCGGATCAGTAAAGCTGACCTTTTTCATGTATTTGATTTTTTGTTTACCTTTTTCTCTCTTGGTCCAGGACAGTGGTTCTCAACCTGTGGGTCACGACCCCTTTGGGGGCCGAATGACCCTTTCACAGGGATCTCTGACTCATCACAGTAACAAAACTACAGTGATGAAGTAGCAACGAAAATAACGTTATGGTTGGGGGTCACGCCAACACGAGGACCTGTATGCCAGGGTCGTGGCATTAGGAAGGTGGAGAACCCCTGGTCCAGGATCCCAGTGAGAGCTGTCAGTAGTTGTGGCCAGGCACCAACTAGTTCCCAAGATTTGGTTCCTGGAGCGACTTACAAACTACCTGACACTGGAAAGCCACTCGACTTGGCCTCGGTTGCCCCGTTTGTGTTGCGTAGACATTCTTCCAGTGCCCCCATTTTCTTTGGCTTCGCTGCTTCGGGTGGAAAGTTGGAATCTTGCTCTTTCATCTACCCGCTATATACAGGAGCTGCTTTAGCTTTCCGATTTTTGCACTTTCCCCTCCTTTTTCAAGCCCTTGTACAAACGCCAGGTTCCCTAATGTGCTGCTCTGAAACCACTCCTCCACTTGACAGTGCTGTTAGCATTTAAAGAGGACTTTGGCTTGGCTTCCCATACGCTTTCTCCTCCCCTACCATCGTACTTGTTCTCACAGTCTCTGGAGTCAGGCAGAGGGGGGTTTTCCTGTCTGGTTGACCATCTGGAGCTGAAAGGTCAGTGTTAAAAAGGCCACAGACCTCTCCCAGAAAGCGGGAGATGTGAGGGTGTCACTGGCGAACCGCCAGAAATACCTTCACTACTTTATGGCAAGCGCTGTATTTCTCTCCACTCACACCTGTCCTCAGTGCGAAATCAGGGATAAACATAGGAGCAATACCTATTTCATGGGGTTGTGAAGATTACATTGGTCCATATGTGTGGACCAGTAATGCTACAATTACTACTATGAACCCAATAGCATGGTTCAGTTCAACCTCTGGACCTCATACATGAATGGGCAGAGAGGATTGAGCCAAAAACACTAGGACTCCATGAATCTGAATGTAGTAGGTCTCCCACTTGTCCAGGAGAACCTCGCCCTTCTCTGTCTAGGCCACTGCTCCTACTGTGCCCTTTGCTTAGAGGTGGAAGCACTGTATGAGGCCGCCTCCCTGGGCGGAGGTCTCCCTGCCTCCCTGTGTGACGTCTCATCACTTCCAAGATGAGACAGGTTTGACCTCCTAACCATGGGCCTCTTCCTCATCAATATTCCCAGCGTTAGCGGGATTTTAAGTTCCTTGACATAACCTATGCCCTAAATATCCATGGTGGTTCTGCTTTGTAAGTCAGGCACAGGAAACACTAGCTGTGAAGGAATGTCCAACTATAATTCCATCACTTTCGATGTCAAAACATGATCTTTCAAAGCTGCATAAGATACTACCTGTCTCCTAAGGGATCCTTGGGGATGTGGCAGGGAGGTTGGGGGGAAATGGGGAGGTAAAAACCAAGAAAATGTTCTATAGTTGATTGTAGTGATGATTGTACAACTCTTCTTAATATGATTGAACTGTTAAATAGTTTTTGGAGTATATGCTCAGAACTGCTTATATACATGTGTATATTTAAACCATATATGCACACACACATCCTGCCTTCAAAGAGCTTACCATCTAGAGGGGTACTCATTTAATCCTCAGCAACCCTTTCAGGAAACTGAAGGTTCAGAAATTTACACAAAGTGGTAAACCCAAGCCTGAGCCAGTTTGCGAATCCTGGCATTGAGGTGGAAGACTAGTTTACCACCTCCCAAAGATGCCTTAAAACCCATCTCACTTCCCAGGGAAACCAGCCAGGACTGGAAGCTAGTGGGGATGGTGGCCATCTCACTGCCGCTGAGTTGATTCCAATGCCTAGGGGCCTCGTCAGGACAGAGCAGACTTGCCCCTGTGGGTTTCTGAGTCTGTAACTCGATGGGAACAGAAAGCCTCCATTTTCTCCCAGGGATTGGTGGCTTTGAACTGCTCATGTGGAGTTTAGCAACTCAGCCCATAAACCATTACGCTACTTGGGCTCCATGGTTCCCATAGTGCAAAGCAGTGCACTCCAATTCTGTGATCTTTGCTTCTCCCCAACTTTGTAAGGAAGGGCAGGGACTGGGCCAGAGCCTCCGTTTCCTCATTGGTAGGAGGATGCTGTCTGGGCATCCATTACCTTTTCCTGCCCAACAGCCAGTCCTGTTTCTTCCTCCTCGGTTGTCGGAAACAGGAGTGGTCTGACCTGTTACTGAAGTGAGGCCTTCACATGCTCTCTGGACATGAATCTTCAGGGGCCCGCCCAAAGATCAAATCCTGCTGGCTTCATTCATCCAGAAGCCCCGGCAAATGATACCAACCCCTGGGACACCAAGGTCAGCCGGCACAACGTAGCTCACAGAGACAATGCTCGACATCCTAGTTTGGTGAGTAATGGGTTTTAAAAGCTCATGGGCAGCCATCTAAGACGCAGCTAGTGGCCTCTCCCCATCTGGAAGAGAGAATAATGAACATTGAGAGACATGGAAGCCTTTATTGCATGAATGTACCACACAGACATCAGCCTCCCCAACTCTGGGACCACTGCTAACTGCTCTGAAAGAGGTCACGTGAGATAGAATAGGGGTGGGAAGAGAAGGTGGAAGGAAGACCCAAGTTATAAAAGCGACCAGGGTTAGTGGTCAGACTGGTGGAGCAGCTAAGACTGTGCCCATAGTCACCCTTCAGGTCTGGGACTGAACTGCCCCCACTCCCAGGTTAGAATAATCCACCATGAAGAGCAAAAGGGCAGCATTTACCAAGGACAGAGCATAGAGGGTTAGGGAAGGAGGGACAGAAATGGGGAGACCCAGGGAAGAAGTGGGGTAAGGGATTGAGGGGACTGCCGTGGAGGCACTGAAACAAAATGTCTATGACTGTTGACCGTAAACTGATGGTCTGCTCTAGACGCCTTCGCCTAAGGCACAGTTCAGTCAAACAAAAAAACGACACCAGTCCCCGATTCCTCTACCTACAAGCTTCTCTGGCACTTAGTTTTGTGGTTGGTTCGGCTTCTCCTCCCATTCTGTGAGCTCCCCATCACCACCGCCCCCACCCCTCTTCCATCCTTTTACTAAAGGCCCTTCTCAGGGTCCATGTGTGGGTCGTTTTTCCTGGCTTGCAACGAGGGCAAAACCCAACGGACGCCCTAGTTGACGCCAACACTGCCGGGAGTTTATACAGCGCCTAGCCCGGGCCTCGCAGCATAGCCAGCACTCAGTCAGTGGCAGTAGCTGGCTGAACGTCGACATGGGGGTGGGGAGGTGGGAGGGGTGCAGGGAAGGGGAAGGGAGATTAAGAGCTGTCAGGACAACAGAAGGGAGAGAAGTCCCCGCTATGGTATGCTCATTTATTCAAAATGTCTTTATTGAAACAGAAATGGTAAGAGCAAGAAAGACGGAGGTCTGGGGGATGTCTTTGGGCACAGGATGGTGCCCAGACCCAGTGGTGACGGCGCGGAGCTCCTGGTCCCTGATCTTAGGGAGGAAGGGAACACAAAGCAGCAGGGCGGAGATGGGTGGGGACAGCCCTCTGAGCTCTCCTATGTGGCTGGCGAGAGGGGCCTCTGAGCCTTCTCAGCCCCGCCTCCTCCCTCCATCCTCCCGTGGGGGCTCCCAGCCAGGGACCCTTTGCCGCCGGTTCTGTGTTGGCCAGCCTCCCGCCAGGGTGCTCAGAGGCCACTCAGAGGGCAGGGTTGGGGGTGGCAAGCAGCGGGACGTGGTCGCAGCGGTGAGGGGGTGGCTGGCGCAGCAGGGACGGCCGGCGGCACAGCTCCCCGTCGCGGAGCACCTCCGGCAGCAGCTTACGCTTGGTTTCCGGGAGGAGCAGGATGCTGAGGATACACAGGAGGGCGCAGGCCGCCAGCACCACGTGCTGCAGGAAGGCTCCGTGGCCCATGTGGAGGCGCTGGGCCGGGTCACTCAGCCCCCCAAGCGCCCCCAGGGCCATGATCAGACCCAGGCCTCGGCCGCTGGAGAGACGAAAGGGGTGCTCAGCTAGGGGCCTTGTCCTGCCCCTCCCTAGCAGCCCTCCCCATCTCCATCCTGAAGACCTCACAGGGAGCCCCAGAGGCCTGGCCCTGCCCGAGGGGCAGCCCCTGGTTCTCACCGGACGGTGGTAGGAATGACTTCGGAGGCAAGGAGGGTGCTGAGGATGCTGGCAGCTTGGGAGGAGAAGAGGCCAAGGACAGAGAAGGTGGTGATGGCCGCCTCATTCAGATCTGGAAGGCGGGGAGGGCAGGACAACAGAGTTGAGATCATACCAGGCCTAGTCCCCCAGCTACCCTGCCTTGGCTCTTGGCTTGTGTGGCTCTAGCTGCATGGGCCCTGGGCATTTACTAGTTGACTGGGTGGGCAGGCAGCCCTGCTGGGGTTCCCTTGCTGACCCCCCCCCACCACCCCCCACACACAGAGGAAAGGTGGATGCTCACAGTCCCACAGGCCTAGCAGGACCAAGGACGCAATGCTGGTGAGGGTCATGGAGAGAAGCAGGATGCCCCGGCGGCCGAATCGGTCCACAGTCACCCCCAGGAAGACGCAGGCCAGGGCTGCGGTGCCGCTGGCCAGCAGGGAACACAGGTAGAAGTCCGACGGGCTCCCTCCGCCCCCTACAGGCTGGTAGCAGTGGCGGATGGCGTGGGCAATGAAGCTGCGAGGAGGAGGGGCAAGAACAGAGCAGGTGTCAGCCCCTGCCCAGTCCCCCACAGGCCTGGCGACTTCCTTCCGAAGGCCTCCCCGGCCCCAGCTAGCCCCCACCCCGGCCCCTGGCCTGGCCCTTGGCTCAGACACCCAGGCTCACTTGGTGAAGCCCAGGATAAGCAGATTTTTCCAGATGTTGCGGAAGTTGAGAAGGGAAGCGAAGGAGAAGGAGGCTGTTGCAGGGAGGTGGCAGGTGTTCTCCAGCTCTTTGAGAGAGGGGGGGGAGGAGCTGTCGGTTAGCAGGAACAGGAGCCCCGATCCTTCCTCCTGGGTGGTGGGGGCCCCGGGAGCGGGTGGCACAGCCATGACCACGCAGGGGCCACTGCCATATTCTGTACAGGATACAGGAGCCATGGCCCCTGGGGAGCCCTGCCCTTACCGTGCAGTGCTTCCTGGGCCTCCTCCCCCAGCATCTGCCCGTGGGGCCGGTTCCTCTCCGCCAGGATCCTCAGCACAGACTGGGCCTCCTCGATCTGCCGCTTCACTATCAACCACCGGGCCGACTCCAGAAACAGACCCGGCCAGCTGGGAGTGGGTGGTGGGGATCCACCATCAGGGCTCCCCTCTCCTGACCCAGGGATGGGAAGCTCCCATCTCTGAGGAGTTGGAGAGGGGGGCAGTTGGAGAACAGGGGAGAGGGGTGTCTCTGGAGTAGAGAGCAGGCTGAGGTGGAGCTGGCAAAGGCCCGGCAGCCCGTGGAGGGTGGTACTGACCCGTAAAACAGGAAGAGGATGCAGGGAGCGGTGATCATTCTCTGCAGGAATCGCCAGTCCTTGGAGACAAGGGCCAGGCCCAGGAACAGGAAGTGCCCCCCCACCCCCACCAACTCCCCTGCCAGGGCCACTCGAAGCCTCTGGGTTGGGTCACACAGCTCCAGGCCTGGGGGGTACAGCAGGGAGAGAAGGAGGAGGGAGGAGGACAGAGAGTGAGGTCAGACCCTGAGCCCAGGCTGCAGCCATCACCTCTCACAGAGCAACTGGATGGCCAGGAGCCAGGAGGTGGGTCGTTCTCCTCAGGCTGCGCAAACCCGGGAGGCTGTAGGTCTGGGACCCTGGCAAGTGTCTGGCAAGCGTGCAAGCCCTTTCAGATCCGATCTCTTGTTTGACCTTCAAAGCAACCCCTTGGAATAATTAGGTGATTGCCACAGCTAGTTCAGATGTCATTTAAAAAATAAGGTACTATTCTCATCCAGTAGAGGAGGGCCTGGGTGGCTACAAAGATCAGTGGGGGACATAATATGGGGAGAAGCAGGACCCTGGGGCCTTCCAAAGCCTGAGTGGGAAAACTCTGGCCAGCTGAAACAATGTGAGGCTAAAGAAGGGGCTGAGGGAGCCCCAGAGGGTGGCAAGCCTGGTGTTGATGGAGTCAGGCCAACTTGAAATGCAAGAGAAGAACCCTAGCAAGGTGACACTCACGCATCAAGTAGACACCAAGGTCAACGCCAGCGAGCAGGAAACCCAGGAGGAAGCGGAGAGCCATGACGCCAGTGGCAGAGCCCGCAGCAGCTCCTCCCACTCCGCAGGGGCCCACCAGCCCCAAGGTCAACAGCACAATCCCACGTCTTCCAAACCTGCAAAGAGGGAAGGGCTTGTGGGTGAGGAGTTTTTGGGTGGGGCTCAGCCCCCACCTTAAAGCTGGCAGGTAGAAGGAGGCTGCAGGTGGGAGGTGGGAACTGATAAGGCATGAGAAGATAAGAAGGGTGGGGATCCTGGCTAAGTGGGTAGCTGGAGGGTGGCTATTGTTCTATGGCAGTGAAACCATTGACTCTCAAGGATAAGGCTGCTATAAGGTCAAAGGTAAAAGGCATTTAGGTATTTATAGAAGTGAGACCACCCATCAGAAGGGATGGGATATTGCCTTGGGGACTTAAGACCATGGGTCTTTGGGGATAAAGCTATTGGTCAATAAGGATGATGGGTCTGTTCATTGTCAGACTGGTCAGAGGATGGAGTCATGGGTATACAGGTCTGCAGCTATGGTTCTGTGAAGGTGAGTCCAAGTAATTTCTGTATGGGGAGTCGCATAAGGGGGAGATCAGGTTCTTAAAGGATGGAGTCCTTAACTTTTGGAGATGAGGCCACTGTGCCATGGGGTGGAGACTATTAGTCCAGGGGGATGAGGTAGAGGTCTGTTGATGCATAAGCGGGGATGAAGCCACTGGTCAGGACATTGCGTCACGGGGCTATTGCTTTTTGGAGACTGGGCCACTGATAGTAGGGATGAGTCTATTAATCCCTGAGAATCAACAGTGAGAGTGGAGTCACAAACCAGATGAAAGTATTGGTCACTATGATGGTCATTGGCAATCGGTGAGGAAGAGCCACTGACCCTTGTGGCCTGTGCTATAACTCTTTGTGAGGAAGTCTGATCTGTAGAAATGAAGACTGAACTGGCTGGTCAGTGGGAAAAGAACACTGATCCACATGAGTGAGGCTACGGACTCAGTGGGATAAGGTGATTTCCCCATAGGGATGGGCCTCTTGATTAATGCGGGTGGGACGACTGATTTTTTAAACTTCCGTTGAGTAGATTCCACTCGTCATGACCCTACATTGGGTTTCTGAAGCTCTATATTTTTCCAGGAACAGATAACGTCATCTTTCTTCTGAGGGGTAGCTGGTGGGCTTGAACACCTGACCTGCAGTTCAGTGCTTTCCGGATCCTGCCACCAGCGCTCCTTGAATTATTAATCTTTGGGGCCGAGGCCATTGTTCCAGAGTTGAGATGACTAGTCCATGCATATGGCTATGAGTCTTTTGGGGTGAAGCCATCTCCCCAGAGAAATAAGGGCACTGGTCTGCGGGGAGGAGGCTATTGATGAAGAGGAAGTCTAGTGAACTTTGGGTTTGGGGTCATTTGCCCTAGGGGTATGTGACTATCGGCAGTGAGGACGGTATTGATTTTATGAAATTGGACTATTGGATGCTGGTTGCCTTTGATCCATGGGAGTAGAATTATTAATTAACTTCTATGGGACTATAGAGCAGCGAGGGAGTCTTGGTGGTACAACGGTTAAGTGCTTGGCTACTGACCAAAAGGTCAGTGGTTTGAACCCATGAGATGCTCTGCAGAAGAAAAGACCAGGTGCTCAGAGAAAGACTGCTTCCTAGGGGGCAGGTTCTACTCTTTCCTATCAGGCTGCTATGAGTTTAAGTCAACTCAAGGGTACCCAACATAGATCAGTGGGGATGAGTCCAATCACCTATTAGCAGTGGAGAAGGAGCAAATGATTTTGTGGCACAGGGTCACGGAGACTCATGTGAGGATCTCATGTGAGTCTCTACCGTCAGCCCCATCGAGACCAGAACTAGGTGGGGCCCAGCTACCACTATTGACTGTTCTGAAAAGGATCGCATTAGTAGGTCCTGGATAGAATGGGAGAAAAGATGTGGCAGAGAAGTCAAAATCATAAAAGAAACCAGGCTTCTTGGTTGGATAGAGACTGGTGGGACCCCCCCCCCCCCAAGGCTATGGCCTTAGTCACCCTTCAGATTTGGGACTGAACTCACCTGTGTTGGCATTAACCATTTACGATCAAAAGCACAGCATTTACTGAAGAGGGTTAAGAAAGGTGAATAGGAGGAAGTGAGACAAACCATGGTAAGTTGAGGGGACTGCAGTGGATGAGCTGAAACGCAAGGTGTGTGAATTGTTGAATGTACAACTGAATGATCAGCTCTGTAAATCTTCACCTACATCACAACAAAAGGTTGTTGTTGCTGTTTTAATAGAAGAATCAAAGGATTTTATTTTCATCCATGGGAAGGCTATTGGTTGCTTGGGTGGGCTGTTCATCATTGGAGCTGAGGCCCCGGCTCAGGGGGAATGGGCTTTTGGTCCGGGAAGCTCCGAGAGCTCCGTGGATCCATGAAGATGGGGCTGTTAATCTAGCGGGGTGCTGTTAGGGGGCCATTGACCCACATGGGTTGGGCTATTGACCCAAGAGGGTTAAGTCATTTGCTGTCCGGTGTAGGACCATGGGTTTTTGTTCTTTGGAACTATTGATTCATGGGGGTGGGGCACTGATTAGAGTGGAACCATTGGTCAATTGGAACTGGGTTATTGACATTTGTGAATCAATATCTTGCTCATTAGGAATGAGGCTATTGAAATGGAGATTTAGGTTCATGTGGATGGGGCGCTTGATCAGTAGGACAAGTCTACACAGGGATGGGAGGAGGCGCCTTGTGCTAAGCACAGTAGAGTGGAGAGGTGTTCAGGTAGCTGGACAGGGTGTTTTCGGTCAGAGGATGCTGACTGATCTTTGTAGCTGAGGCCATCTCAAGCCATGGATTCTAGGGCTACTGATCAATGGGCAGGAGGCTAATCACCCATAGGGTGGGGCCATTTCCTTGTGTGGGTGAGGTCTGGAAGGTGAGGTGGGGGATGGGATGACATGCCATTGACCAGAAAAGCCCGGCGAATACTGCAGAGTCCAGCGCGCATCTTCGTCGGCCTTTGGAGAAGGCCGACACCTGGACTAGCCGCCCTGGCCCCCCCTGCGCTCCACCTGCCCAGTGCCCAGGTCGTCCTCACCTGTCCGCAGGGTAGCCCAGGAACAGGTAGCCGGCGGCAAAGCCCAGGATGAAGAGGATCTGCTCTAGGATCACCTGCCAGCCCAGGTCACACACCAGATCCCACTGGGGATGTGAGAAGGGGCGGAGCGGGTGTGAGGCTCCGCCCCTGCCGGCCCCGGCCCGCCCCCAGTCCCATGGCACCTGCGGGGGTCCGCTGGGCGCCTCACCTGGCCAATGGCGTTGGTGGTGAGCACCGGCAGGCCGTTGTAGTCCCAGTCCTTGAGGCAGTGGTTGAAGTCCGGCGGGGCGAAACCGCGGCAGGAGGGGTCCGGACTGGTGGCGACGCGGCTGGCCGCGCTGGCCGCTAGGGCCGCGCTGGCGACGCTGACGCCGCTGGCGTTGGGGGGCTGCTCCCAGCCGGAGGCGTTGGGGGGAAAGCCCCCGTAGTGACAATGCAGTGGGGGTGCCAGCGTGAAGATGGGGTCCGAGGCCATGCCCAGGGCCACGAAGAGCACGGGCAGGCAACAGAGGCCAAGTTGCAGCTGCTGGCCGCCGCCCAGTGCCCCCACCTGGGCGAGCAGCGCCTCAAAGCTGAGGGGGCCGGGGGGCACGACCAGCGACAGGCTGCTGCCCATCCCGTCGCCGCCCTCCCCTTCCCGTCC